GGTGCTGCGAGAGGCCAAGGCCAAGGAGCTGCACCAGGACATTGAGATCCTCAGCCAGACCTTCGCGCGGGTGATGGACTGCAAGGACAGCGTCATCAAGGTGAGCACGGGGCTGACGAGGCGGGGGCCATGCTGGGGCCCACCCGTGACGCCCCCCAACCTCTGCAGTCCCTGGCCACAGACCTGGAGGAGGCAGAGGAGCAGCACGCCCGGGCCCTGCGCAGCCACCTGCACAACATCGACTGCCTGCTGCAGCTCCAGCGCTGCCGCCTGACCTGCCTGGAGGAGGGGTACAGCGCCCAGCTGGAGGCCCTGACAACAGAGTTTGAGGCTGAGAGGTAAGAGGGGGGCACAGGGACAGCAGTGGCCCCCGCTGGCAGTCCTGTCCTGGTGCTGAGCCCTCTCACAGCCCGGTCGGGTCTGCAGGGGCTTCCCTCTGCGAGCAGCTCCCCCATATTTTCCCCAGGAGGACCATCCTTGAGCAGCATGAGCGAGAAAGCCGCTACCTGCGGGACGTGGCACTGGCCGTGGAGCAGAATTATGCCAAGGACGACCATGAGGCCACGCTCAATTTCCAGAGTGCCCGGGATGACATCAAGAACAAGGCACGGGCAGGGGGAGGAACCGTCTAGGAGCCTTTTAGGGCTCGCAGGCAGAGCACACGGCGAGGTTTGGGTCACCCACACCCGCGTCTGCCTCCAGAGCCTGCAGGAGAAGCAGTACAGCCGCATGCAGCTGGGCGGGAGGGCGAAAGCACTCTGGGAGCAGTTCCAGCGGGCCATGCAGAGCTATGCAGAGGCCACTGAGCACCAGAAGATCGCTTTTGAGGTGCTGAAGCAGAAGGACGAGAAGAGCTCCAGGGAGATCGAGATGCAGGCGAAGAAGCTGCAAAAGCTCCAGGTTGCAGCAGGGCGCAGGGACGGCCCCAAGAGCGGTGGCACCCTGTCCCGCTGCTGATGTCTTGCCTATCCCCAGGACTCGATCGCAGCCACCAAGGGCCGGATGGCGGCTCACCTGCGGGAGAGCGGGGAGCAGAACCGGCGCGCATGGGAGGAGAAGGAGAGGGTCCTCAGGCAGCTGCAGGAGCTCAAGAGCGAGATGAACCAGGCCAGGGCTGAGGCGCACGGTGGCCTGGCGAGGCTCACCGCGCAGAGCAGCGCTGCCCTGAGGGTGCTGGCGCGGGTGCTAGAGAAGGTGAGGCAGGGGGAGCACCGGGGGGGTACCGCTGTCCCCTCCCTCCCTGCCCTCTCCTGCATCCCCGCCAGGCCCAGCGCATCCTGCGGCTGGCCGAGATGTGTCGCAGGCTGGAGACGGAGCAGGAGAAGGTGCTGCCCTTCTACCCTTCCTCGCTGGCAGAGGGGGAGCAGCGAGATGCCCAGCAAGTCCTTGAGGAGACACCTGCGGAGCCCCTGACCCGGGTGAGGAGGCAGCACCGGGGTCTCAGACGCTGCTGTGGGGCAGCGAGGGTCAGGATCCGACCTCGGGGACAGCCCGGCTGGCACACGGACAGGCTGGGGACCCCCTGCCCTCCTCCCTACCTCTCGCCCAGGCCATGTGGGACTACGTGGGGTTGGAGCGATTCTGGCAGCGGTTCAACAAGGCAAAGCTGGAGGAGCAGGCGCTGGAGCGGGAGCGGGCGGCCCTGAGCCAGAGGAACCGGCGCCTGCGGGAGCTGCTCAGGCAGTACCTGGCAGGGATCTCCATCAGCCAGGAGGTGCTCAGTGAGCCCAACCCGCTCCTTGCCGTCGAGCACAAGAGCTGCATCCCCAGGGACCTGCCCCACGCCGGGGGGGGCCATGCACAAGGTCATCGGGGCGCCGTGCACCCTGACAGCCTCTTGGGAGGGGACGCCCACCTGGACCCCATCCATGGCTCTGCCAGCACCAGCTGAGAATCCCCCCTCACAGACCAGGGCACCCACCTGGCGCTTGGGGACACCGCAGAGACTGTGACTGCCCGGAGGTGCCATAAAAGAGCTAAACTGTGCCCAAAAATGTGCTCCAGGGTCTTATTTGTGGAACGCACTGAGCTTTGTCAGCGCAGGCGTGGGTCTGTCACGTCCCACTCAGGTTTGACACGTTGGCTCCAAGGCCCCACCGAGGCGCCGCTGCCGGAGCAGGCTGGGAGCTGGCAGGGCGCACAGCCCCTTCCCACTGCTCTGGGCCGCGCCGCTGCCCCCGGAGCCGGATAGAGCAGATCCAGCGCAGCCAGGGATGCCGAGAGAAAAACTTTATTTCTTTTTGGCTTTGTTCCTCTTCTCCTCCTTCAGCTTCTTCTTGGAGAGCTTGGGGCTGCTGGCCTTGCGGTAGAGGTGGTACCCGATGAGCCCCAGCAACGCCG